TGAAATTTTTTAATGTTTTTTGAAATTGTTTCTTTACATTCTAGAGAAAAATTAACACTTATTTGAAATTGACTTACCACTTAATAGAGGTAATAATATTGGACTGTGGGTGATTTATCTAATGAAGATGTTTCATTAAAAATTATTGTCCAAGATCCAACAGTTTGTCAGCACTTGGACAATAATTTTCAATCTTCTTAAACAAGGATTATGATCAGTATTTTTCAAGAGCATTATTAAGACTAGTAAAAGAGTCAATGTCAAGATATACACCCGTGAAGTTGAGAGGTTGCGGCCAACATTTTCATTGTGAAAACTTCAGCTACAACCTCACTAATGGCTGATTTATTCACCATTTTAGGTAGTGTTTTTTGCTTTGTATGTAAAATATTCAAAATTTCAAATTTCTCCTTTGCCACAAAGGGACATAAAAATTGGAAGAATACTGTTTCTTTATTGAAAAGCCATGAAAATTCATCAGAGCATAGAGGGGCTTTGATGTTTTATTTGGTATGTAGAAGCAATAATACATTATCTGATCAGTTAGAAGATGAAATACAGAAAGAACAAAACTATTGGCAAAAGGTACTAGAACAAGTAGTAGTGGTGATTTGTAAAGGGTATTTCAAATTGAGCACTTTTTTTAAAAATAAATAAAATATCGATGGCGCAGTGAATTCATCCAGGTATTTTGACAGTTAAAAAGTGTGATGTATGACATTTATAAAAATGGCTTCGTACACGATACAACAACGTGTTCAAGTTGTTGAATTATTTTATGAAAATCGGCGTTCTGTGAAAAATGTTTTTAGAAAATTACATGAATTTTATGGTTTACATTATTGTCCATCTGAAAGAACTATTGGTCAAATTATTAAAAAATTTCAAGAGACCAGTTCAGTGGAAGATCAATAAAGAGAAAAATACAGTTGTAGTGGTCATTCACAAGAGAATATTGATTTGGTTTGGTTTGTGAAATGTCCATTAGTCTATGTTCACAAGTTAGACTCAGTCAATCAACAACATGGCATATTTTATGAAAGGATTTAGCTTTAAATGCATATAAGGTTCAAATAACACAGGAACTACAGCCATTGGACCATCAAAAATTTCCTGGAAGAATTATTGCAAGAAATGGTGATGTTAATTGGCCACTAAGATCATGTGATCTAACACCATTGGACTATTTTCTTTGGGGTTATGTTAATTTAAAAGCCAGGCCTATAAGAACAAACCACAATTGATTCCTGAACTGAAGGATGAAATTATTCGTGTCATTGGTAAAAATAGAGCCTCAATTATGTCAAAATGTCATAGAAAATTTTAACAAAAGAATGAACCACTGCGAAGCAGCAAGAGGTGATTTGTCAGATATTATTTTTCGTATATAAATGTCATAACTGATACTTCAATTACCAATAAAAAGTTTTTAAAAATCAATGCAAATTATGTCTTTTATTAATTTTTTAAAAAAGGCACTCAATTTGAAAGGCCCTTTACTTTGGTTGAGAGAAACCTGGCATTTAAGGACTCAAATGAAACATTTGGGGTTATGTAATGGGTTATGATGGAGGTCAATGGAAACTTTATTGGACATTTAAATGGAAACTTTATCTTTTTAGAACTGATAGCAAAATTTGATCCATTTTTATCTGAACATATTAAAAATTATGGTCAAGCTGGTTCGGGAAGAACTTCTATCTATCAAAAACAGTAGTATGTGAAGAACTAATTGCTTCGATGGAAAAAAAAAAAAAAAAAAGTTTTACAATCAATTATTACAGATGTAAAAAGTTCAAAATATTTTGGAATTTCAGTTGATTCCACCCAAATGTTTCTCACAAGGATCAACTATGCATTATTTTGAGATTTGTAGATGAATTGAGTTTTGAACCAATGGAATGATTTCTGAACCTCATTGAAATTGAGGATCACACTGGAGCCAATTTAGTGGAAACGACTGTAAATTTTTTTGAAAGTAAAGCTGGTTTGAATTTTGCTGATTGTAGATCTCAGTCATATGATAATGCAGTGAATATGGCAGGAAAATATAAAGGTATGCAAACAAAAATTTTGGAAAAGAACAGTAAGGCGAGTTTTTTACCATGTACTGGACCTCACAGAATCTGGTTGGTATTTCTGGTGACAATGTTGTATAGAATCAATCAAAATAGTTGATTGATTCTATACAACATTAATAATAATAAATAGCTCAACAAATTTTCAAATTTTTATCATCATCCATCAAAAAATGGAGTGTAATTGAAAAAAAATCCAACCAATCAGTAAAATCATCATCAAAGACTAGATGGAGTACTCAATTAGACTCAATCAAGATATATTGTAATTATGGAAGTTTATTGGATGCTTTAAGCAGTACTGTTTTGATGCACAAAATTTACTGTCTAAAATGGAAGAGTTTGAGTTTGCATTGAAAACTGTTTTTTGAAACATAATATTATAAAGAATTAATCCTTGTAAGATTCAAAAATCACGGCTAGACACGTGTTCTTCTTTGTATTCATCTCTTGGAGACTTACTAATGAGTTTGAATGATCAGTTTGACACAATTGAAGCAGAAGCTAAAGAATTATTACAAAACAGAGACAAGAACTAAACAAAAAAATTCCAAGAGAACCTCAATCAAATGAGAAAGTGTTAAGTCCCAAGGAAAACTTTAAAAGTAATGTTTCTTTGAAAATTTTGAAAAACATTAATATGAATTTGGAACAACGAGCTGGGTCTTATAAGGAAATTAATCAGAATTTTGGATTTTTAATCAACATTGACATTCTTAATGAAGAATTGAAGTGTACAAAATATTGTCAAGCAATACCAAGGAGATATTGATGATTCATTATATAGCAAAGTTTTGCAACTTCATAGTTTCATCAAAATTAATTATCAAGATTGAGAATCCCCTGTGACTCATTTGTTCTTGTATAAGATGATAAGAAAAAAGACTATGGAAAATTTCCATACACTGAAACAGTTTTAAGAATTTATTTATGCTTGATGATTACCAACTGTTCTGGTGAAAGAAATTTTTCAAAAGTAAAATTAACCAAAAATATTCTAAGGTCAATCAGAATACTTTAAACAATTTCACTTTATTATCCAGCAATGTCAATAAAATCAAATCCATTGATTTTGATTTATTAATCAATGAATGTGCCGAAGAAAAATGTAGAAAAAATTTTTGTAAAACAAATTGTAATTTTTATACCATATTGAATTTTATAATAAAAAAATATAAAAAATATTTGTTTTCACATTTCATAAAGCCTCACTGACTGTCTCTCAACTCGATAATTTAGGATCAACTTTTAAATCAGATAAGGATTTTTATAAATTCTATCTTAAAATACCTGATGTGAATAAGTCATATAAAATCAATTTCAGAGATGATTATTACTTTAGCAGCCCCAAAGCCTAAAGGGCCTCAAAATTGCAAATCTGGCTCTGAATGTAAACTTAAAATCCAGAATTATAGAAAAATTATTAGTCACCCCCTAATTTATAACTTTCTGATTTATGACAGCCAAAACTAGAATATTAAGAAAATTATTTTTGAATCAAAACAGTGGACATACTCAATAACAGCATGGATATTTTTTAAATAATGAAAATCAAGTTTAAAAAGGATTAACACACTAACTCAAAGTTAACTTTGTATATGGTGCTGTCTGCTCTGAGATTTTATTAAAAAATATCTTTTATATTATCATCATAAAAAAGACTAAAGGCTTAATATATTGAAAGTAGAGATAAGTTTTAAAAAAACTGTAAATGCAATAATGAGTAAACTTTTCATTAAATCTGACTCCACTCAAGATATGACATGACCCGAGTGGCATAGCGTAGTGGGGCGGCTCACCCCGGGCAGCACTTTTTAGAGGGAGGCAAAATTTCACAAAAAATAATAATAATATCTTGTAAAAATTTGAACCATTCTAATCTATATTTGCGTCGCACCTACGATAGTGCTATCATCCGGACAGTGCGGGAATCGACTCACCGTCCAGGTGAACTATTAATTTCATCCGAGCATATCTTGCGCAACCTGTTGACTTTTTTTTTTATTTTGCTTGTACGATTCATTCGTATTCATATACACCTCCAATATCCAATAGAGTTATTTTAAACAGGTCGCTGTGGTAGCACGGAATTTTTCATTGCTTGTTCTGTGATGAAACTGAATTTAGTCTTTTAAATTGAGATACCTAAATAAGGGGGACCAAAATTTTCCTCCATCCCGGGCAGCTAACACCTACACTACGCCACTGCATGACCCCGCATGACCCCCTCTCCATCTCCATGACCTTTACCAAAATTTAATAGCATCAATGTCTTATATATAAAAATAATTCCGCAAAGTTTCAAAATTTTTGGTTTATTCAGTCCTGAGATATAATACAAAATAGATGCCAATACACATACATATAAAGAATTTTATAAGGTTTTTTTTTTTTACATTTTTGGGACTCCTTGAGGGTTAAAATGTCAAAAAATGCAAAAAACTGGACAATTGAGATTTGGCCAATTACCATACTCTTCCTATATATTATATTCTATAACAGCCTAGAAATTAAAAGTGCTAAACAGACTTATGAGAAATCAAACCTGAAATACTTTTTAAGCAATTGAAAAAAATCTATTATAAATCATGCATTATATTTTAATATATAAATAATAAGTACTTAATTTAATTAACAAAAAAGAAATTTTAAAGAAACTTGAATAAGAAAACTTTTCCATACTTATAAGATTTCTCAGTGTTTGAAAAAAAATTAATAAAGGAAAAATTTTAAAATGATACATTCTATCGACTTACAAAAATGTGTGTTGAAAAAAAAAATCTTAACAAGATCAACCTTAAACCTTAAATAAAAATATTCTATAAAGATTGAATGTATTTGATTAAAAAAATAATTTGTTCATAAAAATTTTATAAAAAGAATACTGAAAACATTATTTAAAAGACAGCTTTGATTATTTACCTCCTTTCACTTTTTTCTTGTGTTTACTTTTCTCACGAGAACCACTTTTTTTACTTTTCTTTGCTGCTTTTTTAGTCTTCTTGGAAGATTTAGAGTTCTTAGATTGATTACGATCTTGGGATTTTGGAGATTTTCCTGCAGGTGATTTTTCCACTTCTGTTCCTTCTGGTTCTGACTGACTCTGATGGGCATAATCAGAAAGAATACGCTTTTTTGGTGATGGAAATGGCAATTTTACTAATAATTTTTTTCTTCCTGTGGTCCCTTTGGATTTAGAATCTCCACTAGGACTATCTTTTTTCTTTTTTGCAGATGGAGATGATGGTGGGGGTGACAAAGATGCTTTACGTTTACCAGACTTTGCTTCATCTGATTCAGATCTTGAAGATAACTGATTACTTTTTTTCCCACGAACACTAAAATCAAATTCTTCTGCCTTTAAATTTGATTTAGTACTTGTTAGATAGAGAGCCAATTCAATTTTGGAACGAAATTTTTTTCCATCAGGGCTAGAAAAAATATATTCATATAATTAAGAACAGTATCTTAATTATACTTAGAAATCTTATTTGTTAATAAAAAATATCTTCCTTATAATTATTTAGACTGAGTATATGTAGACTTTTTATTTTTGATATTATATGATAAAAATCAGAGGTACAGTCGATCCCCCTATAAGATCATTGATTTTTCCGTTTTATCTGAATTACATGTTGTACGAGTCACTTAGATTTTACAAATATGTGAGCCGTTCACAGCCCGGCACACGTATTTGTAAAATCTAAGTGACTCGTACAACATGTAATTCAGATAAAACGGAAAAATCAATGATCTTATAGGGGGATCGACTGTAAACAATGGTTAGTGGTTTTGAAAACATATATGAGTAAATTAAATACTTCTAAAGTAAATAAACTACATTTTCGCTAGTCTTTTTATATTTTCAACTTTAAGTTAGAGTTGAAAATATGTTAAGTCTTTTATTTCTCTTAGTTAGAAGCATTCAAATTTTATGATCTTCGTAATTTAGTTCAAAGGTTACCAAACTTTTTAAAGCTGCAACTCCCTACTATTTTCTCTCTTTCTCATTTACATTCCTCTATTTCTGAAATTATGATACTATTTGCAATCCGTTATCTGTACGAAAAGTCTCTAATTAATGACTGCCATCAAAACAAAAGTCAGAAATTCCATTGAACTTGAAAATGATTTAATTGTATGGTTTCATATAAAGAGTCCAGATTTGTAAAGGTTGTTTCTGAAAAAGAAGTGTATGTTTTACACTAAAT